ATGGCTTTCCCGATGAAAGAATTGAAGCCATTCTGCATAGAGTGGAGTTGAGTACAAAACATCAAACCAGTAATTATGGACTCGGATTGGCTATGAATGTGAACACCATTTGGATGCACGACGACAATCCCATCGCCGGTCTTCGTGTCAACGAACACGTCAACAGATTTCGGCAGCAAATGAAAGAAAACCCCAAATTCTTGAGGAATAAAATCAAAGAATATTTCATTTCAAATACCCATCGATTGGTATTAGAGATGAATCCATCGAATGATTACGAAAATAATCTCAAAATTGAAGAGCAAAAAGTGTTGAAAGAAAAGGTCTCTAAACTGACTGAAAAGGATTTGAAAGAGATTTATGAAAACGGATTGGAATTGGAAAGAATGCAGAAGAATAAAGACGACGCCTCTGTATTGCCCACACTTAGCGTTAAGAAAGATATTTCCCGTAATTTTAATGCCACTAATATAGAGACCACTAAAATATTAAACGCCGGCATTCAATGGTCAGCTCAGCCCACGAATGGCATCACATATTTCAACGCTATTATGAAACCCAAACCGAAAGCATTTCCGCGACATTTGGTGCCATATCTACCGGTTTTTAGTCAATTGGTGACCAAATTAGGCGCCGGAGAATTGGATCGAAAACAATTGGACCAAGAAATCCAAATGAGAACCGGAGGCCTCCAAATGTCAACCCATGTGTCAGACCATCCCTCGGAGTTTGATCTCTACGAAAAAGGACTCATCATTTCATCGCATTGTTTAGACAGAAATGTTGAGCAAATGTTTAAGTTATGGACCGATATATTCAACAGAATTCGATTCGACGACGATTACGACCACTTGTCTCAACTGATCCGTATGTGTTCGGCGGAGTTGGCGCAGAGTCTTCCCCATTACGGACACAAGTATGCAATGCAGCGGTCGGCCGCTTCATTGGGCGGTTCCTATAAGTTCAGAGAACTGACGAGTGGTTTGTCATCGGTTTCGCATTTCCGTTCATTGGCTTCTTTAGAAGATTGCAAACCAGTTGTCGACCATTTAAAAAGTATTGCAACCCTTCTATTGAACTCTGATTCCATCCGGTGTTCAATCAATGCGGAGGCGCCTACTATTCGGTCATCGCTTCAGACAATTGAACGATTCATTCACTCCATTAAACAAAAGCCTGAAACCACTCATCAGACGGAAGAGTCACCAAATAGTGACATTCCAGGCATTGATCACGTGAATGAACACCACGTCTATCCCTTCGCTAATAACTATTTGGCGAAATCAGTATTTTGTGCGCCTTTTGCTCATAAAGATTACGCGAAACTCAAAATCGCCTCAAAACTGGTTTCGACGAAATATCTTCACCGAGAAATCCGTGAAAAGGGCGGCGCATACGGAGGCGGCTCTAAACTAACGTCAGGCGGTGTTTACACTTACTATTCATATCGCGATCCAAACATTGACCAAACAATTGACGCCTTCAATGGTTCGGCCGAATGGCTGACCGACGGAAACCATTACAACGATCAGGACATCGATGAGGCGAAGCTATCGATATTTCAAGAAGTGGATCACCCGATTATGCCCAGTGAACAGGGATTGGAATTCTTCGTCAATGGAATCGATGATCAAATGAAACACGACTATAGAATGCGTTTACTCGATGTCAGCAAAGGGGACATCGAAGAAGTGGCTAAAAGGTATTGCTTTCTCTCTCTTTCTCTCTCCTTATTTAACGTATTTAAACCCATTCTACAGGTATTTATTGGACGGAACACTAAAATCTGGTGTTGTGTTGATTGGTCCGCGCAGTGATCGTACGATATCTGATCCTAAATGGTTGATAACCGAAGAGAAACCCAAGCGTATCCATATATTATTAATTGTCTACGAAATAAACACCAGTATAAACTATACGCTAATTACTTGCGTATCTTTCATACCGTAATTAACCACCGAAGTCAAAGTTTCAGTACTGAGTAAACATTTAAATTTGTTTTAAAAAATTTCTGGCATTTCTATAGCAGTAAAACACAAGCCTTTGAATGACTGCCAATAATATCGATTATCAACAATAAAACAAACCATTAGTTAACATTTTAGAAAAATACTATTACATAGATATAAAAATATATATAAAACATGTATAAAAATTAAATATATTAGTCATTATTAAAATAATTTTTCCATATCTTATAAGCTATAAATTTTTTAACAATTATTTTTGTGTCCAAAATATATCATTTTTCCTATCGATTCACTTCTCACATATGGGTTATAACGGCAATGAATTATTAGAAAAAAATTAAATTTGATAACAAAACCGCTAGCTAACCAAGTGTAATAAACCCCCTTACATACCGTAAATACACTTGCATTCCGGGCGGACAAACATACACAACTTATAGAAAAGTTAACTCAAGTGTATTCGTCGACTACGTAAATCGAGGCCTAAATTATACTTCATTGCAGTTCTCATTATTGCCTGTAAAGGAATAGGCATTTAGTAAAACACAATAGTCATCGCATATCAAGTCATACCCGCGCCGACCGTTCCATAGTATAGTCGAGACCCGAGTGGACGATATCTTTTTCAGAAGCACCGGATATTTTTTTCTGAAATGATTCGCTCGGGATTATAGGTATACGACCGCCAGCTTTGCCAAAACGCCTCTCAAGAGATTCCTGAACGCTCTCTAAAATACAAATAAACAAAATGTGATCACATTTTATCGATTAAAAAGCATTTTGTTTTTGCTCTTAATTCGTACCCAATAAGTGATAATTAGAGTCGCGCTCGTATTTGAACAGCAATCGGCCATAACTGACATGATTTAGATTTTTAAGCCATTCAAAGTAGGATACGGTGACTCCGCCGGCGTTGATATACAGATCGGGTATAACTAATATATTCCTATCAATGAGTATCTTATCAGCGGCGGGTGTGATCGGGCCGTTGGCCGCCTCTGCTATTATCTATCAATTGAAACACAGTTTCAAATGAATAAATGATTGCATTGTTTGATAGTTTAGTTATTTTGTGTGATTAGGAAAGGGTCTAACTTTGCACTGAAGTTTATGGGCGTTATCTTTGGTGATAACCTTTTCGATGGCTGCGGGCACGAGAACATCGCACTTCTCGTACATGAGTGCCTCCTGCGGGCCCTCATAGGGCGCGGCGTTAGGGAAACCGACAACAGTTCCGTTATTCATCTTCCAGTCCTCGAGCTCTTTGGGATCGATTCCGTTCTGATTGAAAATACTTCCGTCCCTTTCCTGGATTCCTATACATCGAGCGCCCGCTCTGTTTAGGTATCGCATGGAGTGAAGGCCAACGTTACCAAAGCCTTGAATGATAAACGTCTTCCCACCCCAACCGGGAGTGTCGCCAATCAGTGACATATATGAGGCCTCGTTTATAAAGTTGTCGATTCCGTGAAAAACTCCCTTTCAATGCGAAACAGAGAGACTTTTAATTTATTTGACAAAAATAATCTTATCGTCACTTAAAGTGTCTAAAGAATTATCAAATTTTTGTTTAGAAACTCAATATTATTCGGGAATTTCTATGCGAAACAACATGTGGTGAACAAATAAACGCAAGGATTAACTGATAGCAACACTTTATCTAATCTAATGGAAAAGCACTTCTAAAATGTGAATAATAAATGAGATCTTAAGGCATAAGTAAATAATAGGCGAGAAATACACTGATATATACTGACTCTTCCGGTGGCGGAGATGCGGCCGTGGATTCCGCCCTGATTTATGGGTTTGCCGGTCACACACGCGTGAGCGTTCATATCTGTATACCCTATGGTCTGCGAATACGTGTCTGCAATCCAACTCATTTCCCGCTCTCCGGTCCCCATATCAGGCGCCGGCACATCAATGCCCGGCCCTAAGAAGCCCTTCTTCGACAGTTGAAGCGCGAAATTACGGGTGATTTTCTCCAACTCTTGATCACTAAAGTCTTTGGGGTTTATCTTAAGGCCGGCTTTGGCGCCACCGAAAGGCACGTCCACTACAGCACACTTGAATGTCATCAGAGCTGACAAAGCCTTCACTTCATCCAAACAGACATCAGGACTGAAACGAATGCCTTTAAAACAAATCACAAATGGTTTACACATTAGTTATGGTTAACAGAAAAGTGGTTACACTCATGAGGAGTGGGTGTCTATACCTCCTTTACAGGGCACCCGATGGTGACTGTGCTGTGCTCTCCAGCCGTTGATCATAACATAGTCGCCGTTATCTCGTTTGATAGGATAGGAGACTTCGAGGACGGCGTGACACGGACCTAATATCGACAGATATCCTCTCACTTTCTTGCGCTTCTCTTCGGCGCTTTGTTTGCCTTTAAGCTCTTCGACGAGTTTGTCTTCAACCACTTGCCATCCCTTGTGGTAGAAGTACTCAACCATATGAAAGAATGACGGATCAGATGCCTCTTCGACGTAAGCGATGTTATCCGGGATTTCATGTGAATTACTCACTGAAGAGTACAGTCGATGGCAACCAATTTGTTTACATAAGTGTTGAAGCGTTGGATCAGTTGTCTTGGCCGCGCAGCCGTGTCTTGAATGACTTCCCAACAACTTTGACACACTTTGGCTCACATTTCGTAACATTTTTCTCGTTTCCCTTTAAATGGTTATTAGTTTTGCATTTAATCGACAAATAA